CGGTTGCTCGCTGGAAGGAGCGGTGCTCCCGACCGGAGCCGGCGGAGGCGGCAAGCTGAGGCCTCGCCAGGGCAGTTTACGCCCGCGCCCCGCCAGTTCTCCGGTTGCGGTGGCGGATGGCCAACCGACCGCCACAAAGGAGCGCACCGACACCTGGGCGCGAGCGTGCGCCGCCAAGTCTGATTTCCCTTTGCGGAGCTCGACGCTGCATCGCGGGAGATGCGTCTCCGGAGTGCGCCGGGGCCGGGCTTCGCTTCACTGCGAAGCCCGGCGACAACTGCCCCTCGCCCCCCGCAAAGAATTCGTGGCTGCGTTCAACAGAAGCATCAGCGACGGTGGCGTTCCGGCCTCCTGGAAAGCGGGCATTGTGACTATCGCACTCCTCAAGCCTGGGAAGCTGGGCAAATGCTTCCCACCTTGCTTCGTCCCGTCGCCCTCGCCAGCTGCCCGCGTAAGCTCGTGGAAAGAATTGAGGCACGAAGCATCCGCGGCACAGTTGAAGCCCAACTTCCTCCCCAGCAAGCTGCTTTTCGCCCTGGTCGCCCAATGCTGGGTCCGCTGACTCGCCTGATTGCACGGACCATTTCACCGTGGCAAGCGGGAGAAGGCCGGTGCGGTGCTGGTGGGTCACGCTAGGGCCTTCGGCTCGGTTGATGACGGCCTCAGCGGAATGGGTGTAAACGTAACGAGGCGTTGCCTTCTGTTCCCCGCTCCTTATAGCTGCTTTTTCGTTAAGCGCCGCCTTGCTCTCCTTCCCCCTCCTTCCACGAGAGAAAAAAAAAGTCCGGTATTGTTGTATTCTGATCTCTTTTTTTTTTTTTTGGGGGGGGGGGTCGACCCTCATAGCTGTCACCGGCACTGATATTGATTTTCGTTTTCCGCCGCTTCCATGGTTCGACCGTCCGGTTGTGTATGTATCTTTCCTAGGAAACCAGGACTACTGTTGAGGCAACAAAAAAAGAAATAAATAATAATGCCACCTATCACATATATTTCCTTAATTTCCGGACTATTTGTGATTACTCTGTGAAGTGCTTCTTGATGGAGGCATATATATATAAATATATGCTGTTTGCATGTGGGTGTGGCTGTCGCTGCGCCGCTTGTGCTTATAGCTTTTTTGTGCCCTCGCCTATAGAGAGGCGGGAAGGAGAGACGTTGCCAAGTGAAAAGGGGCTAACTGAGCGATTTTCCGTTCGGTTTTTGTTTCTTGTTATTCTTCTTTATTTCTGTTTGCTTATTTATATCTTTACTTACGTGATGAATTCTGTCTGGATGCCCCTCTCTTTATCTCTCCCTTGCGGTGCCGGCGTGCGTGTGTGTCTGTGCATGTGTAGCTTCTTGGGACTGCTGAGCCGCTTTTCGCCGTTACTTCGATTTTGCGTACTTAGCGACTTGTGTTGCGTTGTTGCCCGTCCTCCCTCTTGCGCCCCCCAAGTCTTTTGTCTGGGTAGGGAGAGGAGGGGGGACGCTCCGCGACGCGGCGGAAGTGACAGAACTTAAAATATAAGGCTTGGCGCACATGCGCGTGTGTATGCAGCGCCTGATTTTCTTCTTGCTTGCGAATGTGTGGGCGTGTGGGGAAGGGAGGGACGAAGGAATGGATGGAGCACGGTTATGGGTGGCACATCACTGCATTCACAAGGATGGCACATGAATCGGCAAACGCAAGTTGTGCTCCGCGAAGAAGCTAGCCCATTGTCCCAGTGAAGTGGCAAACACGCACCTCCCTCCGTCCCTCCGTCCACATGCAGGCGCGCGTGTATCTGAATCTGTGTGTCTTAGTCTTTCTCTTTTCTTCCTATCCGTATGTCATCGAAGACGTGTCGAATAATAACGGCGTTTTCTCCATTAGTGTTTGATTTTTTTTATTTTATTTTGTGTTTATTCTGCTATTTCTTGCGCAGGGCGAGTGAACGTTATTTGTTTTTGTTTTTGTTTTTGTTTTTTGTTGTTTTGCCTCGATGTGTGCCTCTGCGGGTGTTTGCGCTCCCATCTCTCGCTCTCTCTCTCTCTCTCTCTCTCTCTCTCTCTGGGTGAGCGTCACCCTCCTCTGCCTCCCAGCCAGAGGCAATTTCCTCGCGGTGAAAGGACGGCACGGGGTGGCGCCGAAGTGGAGGCGGGAGGCAATGCCGCTCAGTAAGAAGGGCGCATTCGTCATGCGCGGCGACTCGCCAGAGCCGTTCCGAAGGAAGTCTGGGAAGTGGTTTATCGGGTCGCTCTCCGTCTTCGCCCGGAGGGGGTCCGCGAAAGCCAGCACGCGGGAGTCGACCGAAGCCAACCCCCACTCCCAGCCGCCCCCGAGTCGCGACTCAGCGCGAGCCGAAGCGGGTGATGCGGACAAAACACAAAAGCAACTCGTCCAGGAGGAGGCTGAGAAACGCACCCAGAACGCGTCTGAGCTCATAACTGCATCTTCCCCACAGGGCACTGATGATGATGGGAAAGGGAATATTAATAGAAGCATGCCACCTGAAGGTGCGAGCCCCCTGCAAGAGGAGCTCTACGCTGAAATTGACATCGATGATAATGAGCCTAGTCAACAAGACCTCCCCTCTGGTGCAATGAATCCTGGCAGTGATCCTAAACCCCTCATCAATACACGCACACTGAATCCGGCGGCTTCAGACAGCAGCGGGGAAAATGGCAGTGCTACGACCCCCGCGTTGGAGAAGAGTGGCGTCTACGACATGATGGATTCCACTGACCTCACAAAATACACAAGCAGCACGTACGACATTGGCGCTGAGCGGGATTCCACAGAAGATATAAAAAGCATGTACGGCATGGGGGTTGACCAAGGTCCCGCAGCCACTGCGAGCAGCACGTACGGCATGGAGGGCCCATGGAGGAATTCCATATATGACGTGGGAAACTTCGCTTTAAGCCAGCATGAGGAACAACCTGTTACTCTTCATTCTGAGATCAATTCCTCCGCAATAGACCAGAGGGTTCCCGAGCCCAATCAGCATTTAACACGCGTACCAGCATCAGCAGTTCCAAAAAGTATTTATTGCAAAATAGCCACAGACTTTCGTGATGCTAAGAGTGAGACCAAGAAAGGGTTGGAGACTGCCTCGAAGCCGAAGGAAGACGAAGCCGTGAAAAAGGACAGCAAGCCCCCGACGACTGCAAGGCCGACTGAGCTCAACGACAACGTTCACTCCTTGGTGGTTGTGAGCGACACCGCCGCCTCCGCTGTCACGGAGAAGGAGACCGAGAAGAAGGTGTCAGTGAAGGACACTGACGGCAAGGTGGTCGAGTACGAGGCGGACGAGCTGCTGCGGGCGAGCAAGGCGACCGTGGAGAACTCCGCGCTGCTGCAGGTGCTCCGACAACAGGTGGAGGCGGGCCACCACTGTGCCGTGATCCTGGCCAACGGCAAGCAGCAGGGGCCGGTGAGCCTGAGCGTTGCGCAGGCCCTCTTGAAGTCCGTCATGGCTGCGCTCAAGAAGAATGAGGAGGAGAAGGGGATCAAGTACGAAGTCCAACTGACAGCCGCCGCGATGCCCTCGGTC